GCCTTGAACTCAGGCCTCATGTTCTCACCAAACAACCAACAAATCTGGAGAGAGTAAATCCTTAACCTTTCATCTCTTTGTACAGAACTCTTGCCCAGGGAAACGTAAACCAACTGGCCTACCCCTGTTGCCTCCCATTAGGTATCTTGCTCTGACCAGCTCCCACAAATTCATCTTCCATTGCCTTGGGTTTCTCAGAGGAAACCTACTCAGCACTTCCCATGGAAAACAAGAAAATTCTAAGTTGGCATTCTCAAATTTAACTACACATTACAGTCACCTGTGAATTTAAAAACTTTCATGGCCTTATAACATCTTAGACCCATTATAGCAAGAATGATATTCAGGCAAGTAGAAGAGCTGAAGCTACTCAGCTGATTCCAATGTACAGCCAGCTTTGAAAACCACTGGCAAGAACTCTTCTTGAAGCTCAGGTAGCCACTGGTGTTTCTACAATTCTCTTGGAGCATCTGCTGAGACCTTACCCCCCACCTCCGAGACTTTGTGTTAGAGGCTGGATCTAGGCGTTTAGTCTTAATGAGCATCCCAGGTCCATCACAAACCAGCAGCATACCACAACATTTCTATGAAATGTTTCACTCAGAAGTGTAGAAATTGGATGGAAATAGGAGACCTCTGCCCCTTTAAGACCTGATTGAGGGATTGCCTTTGAATCTGCGGCAGCATGGAGCAAAGCTGCTTCCTTTTAACCTACTAGGTTGGGTGCAGTCCAGGTTCCTGGAATGGGCTCTCCTCTTAGGTTACTTTAGCCTGTCTGAGAAACAGTGTGTGGTTCACACCAATCGAGAGTGAGAAAGGCATGCTGCCTTGTCCCACTTGCTGTTTCTGTTTGTTTTCATGCCAAGAAGCCTAGTCAGGAGACTTGCTTTGGCCCAGAAGCTTCTCCCACAGGAAGCAAGATAAGGTCTGCCAGCCTGCTTTTCTTTTCATTGCTTGCCCCGTCTTTGGTATTTGTTAAAGCAGGATGTGGAAGAGGTCAGGGTGATGTCCTTTGGACTTGATTAGGAATCTATTAACGAACACAAAGCTTTTCAAGATGGCTCTTCTCACAACTCTTAAAATTCTTTTGTGGGGAATGGTGCCTCATTCCAAATGGCAAAGGCAGAGTGGCCCTCCATGACCCTCCATGCTGACAGAGCTACATTGCCCTTGATTTTGGATCTGGCTAAAGAATCCGCTGGCAAGGACATGAAGCAATGGCCCCAGTGGTATCCCCTGATGTACATGCTGAAGCTATATCAGTGTTCTGCCGACTTGCATGGGCACCCGAGGAAGAACTGCATGATTGGAGCTAAAATGGTGAGGCTGGTGAAGCCATCAGTCAAGGCTGTAAGGTCTCTCAGAGGTGAGTTCTTACATCCCATATAATCCTGGAGAACAGAGAAGAGGGGAAATGTGTACAGCCAAGGGAGTTTGGTGTTTTGTCTTTGATTGGTAAGCAAATAACCACGGAGGGGCGAGAAGTTGTGAAGAGCGAAGGCAGTGTGTTGTCTTTGGTGAGCAGATTGGTCAAACGTGGTTTTCAAAGGGTTGTCAGCTTTTAAAGCTCATTCCACGCCCATTTCCCATTCAAACCATAGCATAAGGAAAAAAATAACCTTGGGTCCTGCTAAGCAGTCTTTCCCAAGTCACAGGACAGCTATGTACTGTATGAGCCCCTGTATTCTTAAAATTGTTATACCTCTTAAAAATGCCCAGCTGCATTCTTGTGGAGGTTTATTTATGTGCTTAGTTGCTCTCTGAAGGCAATGACTATGAGATACTGAGCTAGGAAAACTTGCCTGGTTTCAGACAGGTCAGAAATAAATTATCATCTGAAGGTTCATAAATGACCCTGTGACCTTCCTGTTACTATATTTAATCTTAATGATCGGCACTACCACTTGTTGTCATGGAGAAATTAGCTTGATTTTAAAGATAAAAAAATAAGGCACAGAGAAGTTAAGTAACTTGTAAATGCTCTCAGACACTTGGGTGACTGAGACAAGATTTAAACTAATTCTAAATGCACTATGCCACCGTCCTTGTACCAAGCACTTTTGAATTTTGGTTCATGTTACTCTCATGGGATTTTGTTTCCATGGTCCCACGGTCCCACATGTATTTATTTGTCCACATCATGCACTGTTCTGTTTGAGTATCTGAATTAGATACTTTCCCCAGACTCCTGTAGTACAGAGCTCTCTAGGGAATGCAGATAGCCATCAACTTTAATGAATTCTTGGGAACTTGATGTTATCAGTATGAGGCTGTCACTACTCCCTAAGTTGCTGACAGAATTCACATTCTTTCTTTAAGTAAAATGGTGAATATTTTCTTATCTATCCCTTACTATAAGCTTAATATGTATCAAACACTAAAAAAATTGCTTCGCAAATTATCAGTTTTAATACTTACTGCTATGAGAAAAGGTTGGTAGTATAAGCATTTATAGGTGAAGAACCTGAAGCTCTAATGTCACACAGTAGTAATGGGCAGAGCCAGATATCAATGTCAGTCCAGTGTCTCTTATCTTATACCATACCATGATGAATCCTCAGTAATACATTTTAACTGAGCACAAGTTACTACACTTGGGTTTGGTATATAGAGGCAAATAACTGCTTCTCTATGGGTTCCTTATCTTGAATAAAGAATAAACAATCACATACTAATGTTAAAGTATGATGAGTGCTTTGAAGAATGACTCACTGCTTAGAATGAGGGAAGCAGGGATATACAGAGACCTCAATGAGGAGGCAATATTTGAGAAATTACTTGAGAAAGTGGATAGGGGAGTATGCATATAGGCAATGAGGTGTGCTAGTTAGAAGAAAACTGGCTTGGTGACAGAGGTTCACTCAGCAAATTGAATTCAATCATTGAATGCTATGTATAAAGATATGATTAAGAAAAACACAGCACCTGCTCTCATAGAACACATGTACTTATGGGGGAGATAAATAAGCAAAGACCTAAATCATTGCAAATTGTGGCAATTAAAATGCCTTGTAATAGTAAATGGTAAAATTGTCTCCTTCTGTAGTAATATGGTGGGGAGAGTGATAGCTTTGAAGAAGTGATATTTTAGCTGAGGTATTTAAGGAGTTATAATTGAGGAAACTAGAGAGGACCCGATAAAGACAGAAAAAAAAAACATGTAAAGGCCTAAGGGGGAGGGGGACAAGCATATCCCATTTGAAGAAGGGAGAAATTAGTGGGACTTGGAGCCTTGTGGGAAATGGCATCAATTGAGACTTATTAGAGGCAGGGACTTTCAGGCCTTGAGAAAGGATCTGAGTTCATTCCTAAGTGTGGCAGAAAACTGCACAAATCAAGGGTGAACTAATGATGGGAAGCTTACAAAGAGGATGCCTAGGATTGCAAGTACCCTGGGCTGATGGTGGGACAACTGGCTTCTAATGTCTGTATGAGGAGCCAGAAGTAGACGTCAAGTTCTGTCACACAGGATTTATGAGTCATCCGTTCCCCTTGAAAAGTTCTCCATAGACCCTTCCTGGCTGAGGTTCTCAGCAACCCCACCCTGCTTCAGGAAACACGTGATGTTAGGGTCTGAAAGGAAAGGGCAGTTCCTCAGCAGACAGCCTGCTAGAGGTCTGGGTGGGGTTCCTTTGCAGGGTGGGGCAGGTGTATGGGCAGGCCTGTTGGAAACTTGTAAGAGGGGAATGTGGGATAACTTGAGGAAATAAGTTCCAAGAGTAGCTTGGGTCTCCCTCCCGAGAATGAAGGCCAGTGCTTCTAACCCAAGGGTGTGTTAGGCATGAATTGGAATGGGAATGTCTAAAAATATTTTTCAGCACCAAGACATTAAAGAACTTCTTTGTTAAAAATGACAATCCCCTTGAGGAATTTCAGGCTCACACATTCAGACAAAAGTTTAGGAAAATAATACACGGATGCACTAAGGTTTTCCAATAAAAGAGAAGGCTTTCCCTGTGATGTCTGCGTTTCCTAGTCTACTCTTAACCTGTATTAGGAAAAGGAGAAATTCAAAGCTCTGTAGGCATAGCCTTTTAGTATTTATTTGTTAACTTACTTATTTTGGGGAATAGATCTTTTTTCCCCCATAGAATAGATTCTGATCATGGTTTGGCCACAAGATGTCAGCACTACAATTTGGATTAAAGCTTTTAAATTTAGGTTGCACACAGTCTGGGGCAGATTTCTTAATAAATAAAAATATTCATATAATTAAGGTTTTTATTGAAAGGGTATTCAGAAGCATGGTTGTAAAAGGAACAGGTCAAACCAGAGGGACCAGGAGAGATTGAACTGAAAGGTAAATGGCCAAAGAAGGAAAAATTCAGAAACAGTTCTTGAAGTTGGTGGAAGGCAGTGATGCAAAGATGGTAGACAATCAGTTATTTAGTGATAGGTTCCTCCTGGCTTTAAAATGATGACAGCTGTAGCACCCAATATTAGATTTTTTTCCCCCTAAAGGTACAACTGTATAGTGATGTGACATGGGAATCCTTTCTTAATATATCTTTGTTTTGATAATTTTCTTAATTGGTCACTCTTAATAGTCAGTCAATAGTATATTGGTCCCCCATATATACAATGTATAAGCAAAATAATTTTATATTTTACTTTTTATTGCTAATTGTTCAAAAGTCAGATGGAGTTATGAATAATATCAACAGACTTGGGTTCAAATCTTAAACTTACCAGGAGCTGGCTTGCATGCATCCTTTTTCAGTTCAGGGTACAGAATCCTGGACCTTAGTTATTTAGGTAAGCTTCAGCACCATCCTTTGCCTGGGTGTCCTTTGATAGTTTATATAAGTCTCAATGCTATTATCTACAAAACAGCAATAATAATTGTCTCGCAAGACTATTGAGTATTAAAAATAAATCTATGTATAGACTATATGACACCCTAGTAAGTACTCAATAAATGATAAACTGTAATACTATATCTTGAGCCAATTTCAGGGCTAATTGAAACTATCAGTTTACATTCAGAGGTTTTATAAGGGATGTTCAGGTAAGACACTAATGGTCGGCCCTGTTCTTTCACATTTGTACAGGTCTCTGGCATATACAGACCCTCTTGTATTAAACCAGGTAGCATACCAATCAGAGCCATTGTGGTTTACTGCCATTGAAAGACCAAAGAATGAAAAATTAGTTTTTTGAGGTATCGGTTTAAAGTTTAAAGTGCAAACCTAAATGAAGGCCAGCCAAGTGGAGACATGTCCTGCCACCTTTGGGGAGAACCAGCTTTATTGCATTCTTTTCCTTCCCACTAGAGATACAGTTGCTAGGACACCAGCCCAGATGTCCTGGCTGGAACCACTTAAAGAGATACTGTCTCCTGGCAACCCACCCAGAACCCTTTATGGACTTGGTACCTAAAGTAAACCAATCACTTCAAAAGTCAGCTTCCCTTACCCAATCATGTAATGCCAAGGCATGGAACTCCCTGCTTGTGGTTTTGCCCTTTAAGAACCTTGTTCCCCTAGACCGCCCCACCACATACCTCTGTTTCCACAGGGAGCTTGAGACCTGGACTTGAGCTTGTATCCAATAAACCTTCATGTGTTTTGCAGCTGAGTCAATTCCTGGTGGTCTTTGGGGGTCTTACAAACTGGGCATAACACCATCAACTTCGTCTAGTTTATTACCATCCCCACTATCAACTTCATCTAGTTTATTACCATCCCTCTGCCATGTGGAACCTTGGGTCCCCAAGTGCATGACTAAGCACTTTCCTTCTTCTAAATCAGGTTCTTCAAAGCCCTCTCTCAAGTCTAAAGCCTGGACAGAGATGGATATACATACTGCATTCAGCAGAGGCTCTGGAATTGCAAGGGGCAGAGAATCCTATACCTCTGCTTCAGGTGTCAGTAGCAAAAAAGCAGTGAGTTCTTGCAGTCCAGTGACATGACATGGCATACTTGGATGTTGACTTTTTGCTACTCTATTTCAATGACACAGGTACGTGTGTTCAGGCTAAACTTCTTGCAGTAGGCCAAGAGGAGTTAACTGATATGGAATCTTCTCTCATGTGGTGTGCCAGGCAAGCATGCAGTATTTCATCTGATGTCCCTTGTCCTTTTTGGGAACATGATGGGTTTGTAAATAACCAGTGTTCTCTGGTCAGCTTCCAGCAACTAGGCTAGAATCACTGGATCATTACTCCCCATCTCTACACTCCAAATTACTGTAAAGGAATCTACACTCAGGTGCTACCCTATAGCCTCAATTCACCCAACCATGCTGTCATTCAGAGCCTTGTCAATGAACTAGTGAATCACAGTGTACCTCAGCCTTCTTGTGTCCCTTGTAAGTTTCTGTCTATGAGTATCCTCCTGATTGAGGCAAATGGGAGTATTGTGTATAAGGAGTATGAGGATATGATTGTGAGTCCTGCACATATAGGTAACAGTGAAGTTGTAGCTATCTCAGGTTTCCCAATAAAACTAGAGATGACTTTAAAGAAAGCATTATCAATGTTAAAGCTGGCAGTGATCTACCCAATCTATAGGTTCTACTTCTTATCTTAAGAAAATACAGTGCCTAATATCGACTTATAAGTAAATATATACCATGTGTGTCTTTCTGTGCTTCTGGGTTACCTCAGAAAGATGATCTTTTCTAGATCCACTGATTTGCCTGCAAATTTCATGATTCCATTGTTATTAATTGCTGAGTAGTATTCCATTGCGTAAATGTACTACAGTTTCTGTATCCATTCCTCTGTTGAGGGACATCTAGGTTGTTTTCAGATTCTGGTTATTACAAATAAAGCTGCTATAGACAGAGTTGAGCAGATGTCCTTATTGAAAGGTAGGACATTTTTGGGGGGCATATACCCAGGAGTGGTATAGCTGGCTCTTGAGGTAGCACTATTCCTAATTTTCTGAGAAAGCATCACATTGATTTCCAAAGTGGTTGTACAAGGATACATTCCCACCATCAATGGAAGAGGGCTCCCCTTTCTCCACATCCTCTCCAGCAGGCACCATCCCTTGAGTTTTTGATCTTAGCCATTCTGATGTGTATGAGATGGAATCTCAGGGTAGTTTTGACTTGCATTTCCCTGATGACCAAGGTCTTTGAGCATTTCTTTAAGTGTTTTTCTGCCATTTGATATTCCCCTATTGAGAATTCTGTGTTTAGCTCTGTACCCCATTTTTAATTGGATTACTTGGTTTGATATTATACATATAACATATGATAAACATACTAAAATCTATACTCCTAAAGAAGCTAAACAAGAAGGAGGACCCTAGGAAAGATGCTCAATTCTCATTCAGAAGGGTAAATGGGTAGACATCAGAAGTGGGAGAAGACAGAGAACAGGACAGGAGCCTACCACAGAGGGCTTCTGAAAGACTCTACTGATCAGGGTTTTGAAGCAGAGGCTGAGACTCATAGACAAACTTTGGGCAGTGTGCAGGGAATGTTATGGAAGAAGCAGGAGATAGAAAGACTTGGAGGGGACAGGAACTCCACAAGGAGACCAACAGAGCCAAAATCTTGGGCCCAGAAGGTCCTACAGAGAATGATGCCCTGAACCAAGGAACATGCCTAGAGAGAACATAGTACCCCTCCTCAGATATAACCCATAGTCAGCTCAGTCTCCAAGTTAATTCCCTATAAGGGGAACATGGGATGTCTCTGACATGAACTCAGTAGCTGGCTCTTTGATCAACTGCCCCTGAGGGGTACAGCCTTGCAATACCACAGAGTATAACAACGCAGCCATTTCCTGATGAGACCTGACAGGCTAAGGTCAAATAGAAGGGGAGGAGGACTTCCCCTATAATGGAACTAGGAGAAGAGCATAAGAGGAGAAGGAAGAGGCAGGGGGACTGCGAAGAGACAAGGGAGGGGGCTACAGCTAGGATACAAAGTGAATAAGTACAATAAATAATAATTAAAATATAAACAATGAATAATAAAAAATATAGTGTGCTTATGCTTAAAATAGAAGAACCCTTTAAAGTCTATAAATGAAATACTAGGATCCCATCTTAATATTTTAACAAAGTAATTTAAAATAACAAGAAAATTTTATCTTGATCATTGTTTAAATCTCTTCCCCCATTTGTGGGCCCTTCAGCTTGTAAAAATGTTTCTGGTACTGGCATGGATCAGCATGACTTAACTAGTCAGAGCCCTCAATGCTTGGATAAGATGCTTTCTGGAGATGTGCTCATATGTCATTTTGTGACTTTGTAAAAAAAATAAAAACAAATAAAAATGAAACACTGGTTTCTGGGGAGCTGCTTGTTTGTCAGGCTGCTTTGTTATTGAGCTCTCAGTGAAAAACATATTTTCGTCCTGGCCTTCACCTGGAGACAGGGATAGGTAGGATGTTTTATCAAGTTTACTTCCTTTTGTTTGAGACAGTAGGCAGGATATTTTGCTATGTTTATTTCCTTTTGTTTGTGTGAGGATCACACAGACAAGTGGTCAAGGTAAACAAGTTTGACTTCTCAATGAACCCCTTCATTGTATTGAGGTGCTTTGCTCTGACTATAAAAAGGGATTGTGGAATAAACCAGTGCAGCAGTTTCTACTGGCAGCCCCCTCAAACTGATCCCACGTGTAGTGTGTTGTTGTTGTTTTTAATTTTCTTTCAATCCTCATCCCCCACTCAAGAACTGTTCAACTCTAGGACCTTGAGATACGGAGAAGCAGTGAAGGACACTACAGGTGTTGGCAAGCTCAGATCATAAAGTAAAGAGCAAAGGTATGTTGAGAAAAATTCAAGAGTAAAAATGGAACAAGGCAGTAGCCTCATTTTTTTTGTATGTAATTTAATTAGAAATAGTCTGTATATGTGGCCTGGGACCAGGAAAGTGAAACTCTCAGGGTTAGAGAGAAAGAGGAAATAAAAATGGGAGGCTTCAAGACAAAATGAGATTAACTCATAATCCTCCTCTTGAGGAGTTACATGTCCCTCCTAATGATAATAATTTCTTGTTAGAAGAAGACTTTGAGGATGACTTAGATCATGATGAGGTTGCAGAGTTGGAGGAAGAAGCAGCTAAGTATTATTATGAGAGATACCCTCTGATTCAGGCTATGAATGTTAAAAAAAAATTTTGGAACTTGGCAAAAAGAAATAAAAAGTTTAAGTGGGGCTTGGAGGAAAAAAAAAACAGAAAAATTGGAGAATTAACTACTGGAGAAAATGAGGCTCAATCCCACACTCCAACTCCATCATTGTTTGCAGGCTTGGACCCTCCTCCTGGGATGGCTACAGTTGCTATAACCCAAAAGACAAGGGGACCTTTTCCTTTGTCCACTGCTCAAGCAACTGTATCCCCTTTATAAGCTTCCTTACAACAAGCTAGGTAGGAAGAAGAGATAACTGAGTTTAATCTCTTTCCAATTATAAAGCAACCTGACGGACAAGATAATATGCTGAGAGTTCATGCTCCTATACCTTTAAAAAAATTGAAAGAATTGAAAATTGCATGCTCTCAATATGGTCCTGCAACACCTTTTACTCAAGCTCTGTTAGAATCCTTGTCTGCTGAGGCTCTCTGCCCAGGGAATTGGAAGCAATTAGCAAGAGAATGTTTGACAAAAGATCATTTGTTGTGGAAGTTAGAATTTGCTGAGCTAAACAACAACAGCTAAAATCACTTGAACTGGAAAAAAAGGCAGTTTATCAGTTTTTTCCAGTAAGAAAGCTAATGGTTAATTCTGCTACAAAGCTTCTGTGGTCATAAAAAATCAGATTCAACAAATAGCATGATATTTTGTCTATTTTGAATGTATAAGCTTAACATGTTCAATATGTCTTAGTTATAGATTATTGGTCATTGGCTATGTTTACAAAAACTTCAAAAGATAAAAAAGGGGGAGTCATATCCCCAAATCTTAGTCATTCTCTCTTTTTTTAATTTTTTGTATGTAGATATATAAGACCACTCTGCAGCTGATCGATTGTAGCACCTAATACCAAAGATAATTATTCCCAAGTGAAACAGAAAGATCCAATTACTGGAATATGGCAGGGCCCGACCCTGTGTTAATATGTGAAAGAGGACATGTTTGTATTTTTCTGCAGGATGCTGAAGAAGCCCAGTGGATCCCAGAAAGGTTGGTGCAATTTGCAGGAGATGTTTTCTGGAAGGAGGATGCTCCTGCTGCTGAAAATGAATATAGTCCTGAGGGTGAACAGAGAGCTGCTGCGTTGGGCTTATGCTCTTGACCCACCTTTGTTTCATTCTTCTCCTGAAAGAAGATGTTGTACAGAGAAACCTCTTACATACAAGGTGACTGGACTTGACTGATCTGGTAATCAGGACAATTCTCAACAAAATTGGGAAGAATGAAAAAGACTATGGGACTTTGGTGGTCTGACTCTGGTTTTCAGCAGAGATATATTTGGAAGCTTGCCATAGAAACTCTTGGGGAGGCCCTGTAACTGCATGTATAAATGCTCCTTATGTTTTGTTGTTCAGAAATGTTAACATTTTTTAAAATTCTTTATTAATTACACTTTATTCACTTTGTATCCCCCCTGTGGTTCCCTCCCTCCTCCTGTCCCAATCCCTCCTTTCCTCCCCCCTCTGCATGCATGCCCCTTCCCAAGTCCACTGATAGGGGAGGTCTTCTTTTCCTTCCTTCTGATCCTAGTCAATTAGGTCTCATCAGGAGTGGCTGCATTGTCTTCTTCTGTGGTCTGGTAAGGCTGCTCCCCCCTCAGGAGGAGGTGATCAAAGAGCACGCCAAACAGTTCATGTCAGAGGCCGTCCCTGTTCCTAATTACTATGGAATCCACTTGGACACTGAACTGCCATGGACTACATCTGTGCAGGGATCCTAGGTTATCTCTATGCATGGTCCTTGGTTGGAGTATTAGTTTCAGGAAAGACCCCTGTGCTCAGATTTTTTGGTTCTGTTGCTCTCCTTGTGGAGTTCCTGTTCTCTCCAGGTCTTATTCTTTCCCACTTCTTTCATAAGATTTCCCAAATTCTGCCCAAAGGTTGGCTATAAGTCTCAGCATCTGCATTGATAGTCTGCAGGGCAGAGCCTTTCAGAGGCCCTCTGTGGCAGGTTCCTAACTTGTTCCCTCTTTTCTCCTTCTTCTGATGCCCATCCTCTTTGCCCTTCTGAATAGGAATTGAGCATTTTAGCAAGAGTCCTCCCTCTTGATTAGTTTCTTTAGGTGTACAGATTTTAGTAGGTTTATCCTATATTATGTCTATATGAGTGAGTATATACCATGTGCATCTTTCTGCTTCTGGGATAGCTCACTCAGGATGATCTTTTCCAGATCCCACCATTTGCCTGCAAATTTCATGATTTCCTTGTTAATTCTTATTTGTTTCATGACATTTATCATAAATTAACTCAGTTAATTAACCTTTCTCAACAGTTGATGCTCACTGGACTGAATATCTGAGGATCTATTCTTTAGCATGATTTTGCTCACATATCTACTTAGAAATCAGTTCAGGCTTTACTATTCTCTTCAGTATTTTCATGACAACCCAATTTCAAGTCACTGTGTCTCCTCCCTTCTCATAGCACAACATACTTTCCCTTAATGTCACTGTAGAGTTACTGTCTTCACTGAAAAGAGCTGAAGCTCCCTTTGAAGGTTTTACTTGTCTCATACCCGTGGCTCTGAATGACCAGAGCTGAAAACCTGGGAAGTTTTTTAATTAACACAAAAGTTGGTATTTATTATTTTTTGCATGTGTGTAAAATCGAATACCCTATTATTTTTATATTTGTGTGTTTATTTATATTTATTTTCTTAAAGAATAAATGTAATGTGTGCTTTGCATATAAAGTATAGTGATTTCAAAACTGTATAAATATAAAAGAGTATGAAAGCTCTGTTTTTTATGTAAAGTATTGTGGGAGAAGAAATGGTGGTTCCTTATTACCTGTTTCTTCAGCATTTTTCAGATAGGCATAAATATCTAACCAACTTGAAGATGGACCTTGGCTACAGGACTAAGTCCAGAGTTCAAACTCCTGGTTCTTTGGGGTTTTCAGAAAACAACAACAACAAAAACCATTACCAGTATTCTAACCTGGTTTCCTGTGAAACCTATGAGTAATTCATGATGAGTTGTCTCTATTTGTTAAGCTCTGAGTTGTCAAAAGAACCAAGGAAAACCATGCAGGATGATGTTATAGATTTCTATTAAAAATATTTCAGTTCAGCACCTTTTCTTCAAGTCTAAAGTAAAGACATCTCTTAAACCTTCCTCTGAGAGAAACAGAAAGGCTCATATGTGGAGAAATGTGTATGGATACAGGACCTGCTTGCCTAGGTTGGTGGCAAGAAAACATTACTTGGTTTGGGAAAGAAAAGCAGAGAGAAAAGTCCACCTTTTCCCCCAGAATCACAAAATAGACTGTATCATCACTGAAGAATGGGCATTTGAACTTCGTTCTGACTCTGGGGTTTTGTTGCATTTATCTTTTTTTCTTCTCTTTTTAGGAACTAAATTTTTTGTTAGGTGGTGGTAGTGCATGCCGTTATTCCCAGCACTCAGGAGGCAGAGTCAGGCAGATCTCTGTGAGTTCAAGGCAGACTGGTCCACAGAGTGAGTTCTAGGATAGCCAGGGATATACAAAGAAATCTTGTCCCACAAAAAAAAAAGAAAAAAAGAAAGAGAAAGATAGAAAGAAAGAAAGAAAGAAAGAAAGAAAGAAAAATATATTTTTCTTTCTTCTCATGTAATATATATCTTGATTATTGTTTCCCCTCCCTTTATTTCTCCCAATTCCTCCCCATCTCCCCTTCCCCTCTGGATCTACTCCTTTCCTGTCTCTCTTTAGAAAAGAGCAGGCTTCTAAGAGATAACAACCAAACATAGCAAAATAAAATATAATAGGATAAAACAAAAACTACCACACTGAAGTTGGACAGGACAAACCAACAGATGGGAAAGAGCCTAAGAGAAGGAACAAGAATCAGAGATCCAATAATTTACTTATTCAGGAGTTTCATAAAAGCACTAAACTGGAAATCAGAATATATATATATATATATATATATATATATATATATATATATATATATATATATATATATATATATATATATATATATATATATATATATATATGCTGAGGGCATGCTGCAGACCTGTGTGTGCCCTGTGCATGCAGCTTCAGTCTCTCTGAGCTCATATGAACTTCATATGATGGCCATGAGTTCTTGGTTTCCTCCACCCCTCTGCCTCTTCATTCTTTTTCTACCTCATCTTCCATGGGATTCCCTGAGCTCTGAGGGAAGGGATTTGATGGAAATATCCCATTTAGGGCTGGATGGTCCAAGTTCTCTCTTACTCCCTGTGTAATATTTGGCTGTAGATTTCTGTATCTGTTCCCATCTGCTGTAGGAGGAAGCTTCTCTGATGATAGCAAAATAAGGCAGTGACCTATGAGTATAGCAGAAGATCATTAGGAGTCAATATATTACTATGTGGTAGGGGTGAAAGATGGTGTATTTTGTTTGTTTGTTTGCTTGTCATTTTAGACCAGGAGTACTTGGTTTTAACATAGGTCAATAAGCTATGTAGTCTCAGGTTCTTGGTAAGTGAAGTAGTGTTGGCATGGGTTCCATCTCATGGTGTGTACCTTAAGTCAAACCAGATATTGGTTGGTTACTCCCACAAGCTTTGTGCTACCATTGACCTAGCATATCTCACAGGCAGAACACAACTATAGATCAAACAATACAATGTAAAATTAAGAGGCATTTGGATGGTAGTATGGAAATCAAATATAGTAGAAGCTTCCTCCTAAGATATATAAATATATAGAGGCAATCTAAATGAAAGCACCAAATATTAGGGGAGATATTTTAAAGGTTTTGTGGGTGGCTTGATGTTTATGTTTCTCTTTTGTTAGCCTGCTGAGTATCTTCCTGTACCAAAGACATTAGAAAGGGGTGAGGGCTTTATGTAGGTCCCAACTTGACTTCCCCATGTGCAATGATCTGTATTGATGTTGTGTTCAGTTGTCTTGATTTCAGTTCATAGAGAGGAACCTATTGTCTTGGAAATAACAGGAATAGTTTGGAGGTTCCCATGGGAACCCCTTTGGCCAAGAAATCAACTAGATATAACCCAATCCCAATTCATTTGGTGATAAGAGATGTCCACTTGAGACCCTCTCCCCCCATTATTAAGTGATTTCATTTAGATTGCCTTCATATATTTATATATATTAGGAAGTTTCTACTATATTAGATTTCCACACCACCACTCAAATGCCATTTAATTTTAGGTGGTCATTCCTGTATTCTATCCCTCAATCCCCTCTCCATTTTCCCTCCCAAATTGATATTCTCATTTCATCACCACTACATCTATCCATTGTTATCTATTTTATTTCTCTTTCTTAGCAATACCTATTGTTCCTATATTCCTTATTGACTTTTGTTCCATCTGGTCTCTTACTCTATCTATAACCTACTCTCTGTGGTTCAACAATTTGTAGTCCCACCAACAATGCATGAATGTTACCCCTTGCTCCACATCCTTGCCAGCTGTCACTTGTTTTATTCATCATAGCCATTCTTATGGGTATCAATAAAATCTCAAAGTAATTTTGATTTGCATTTCCCTGACACCTAAGTATGTTAAACAGTTTTAAAGTGTTTCTCAGCAAATTGAGTTTCTTCTTCGGAAAACTGTTAGGGTCTGTACCCCATTTTCAATTGCATTATTTGTTTCTTAATATCTAGTTTTTGTGTTATATATATATTAGCACTCTATAGTATGTGTAGTTAATAAAATATTTTCAGAAATTGTGATACATTTACACAATGGAATACCACTCAGCAATTAAAAACAAGGAAATCATGAAATTTGCAGGCAAATTTTGGCTGGAACTAGAAAAGATCCTGAGTGAAGTATCCCAGAAGCAGAAAGACACACATGATATATATTCACTTATAAGTGGGTATTAGGCATATAATATAGGATGATCATGCTAAAATCTGTACACGTAAGGAATCTAAACCAGAAGGAGCACCCTGGGTAAGATGCTCAATCCTCATTCAGAAAGGCAAATGGGATAGACATCGGAATAAGGTGAAAACAAGGAACAAGACAGGAGCCTACCACAGAGGACCTCTGAAAGACTTTACCCAGCACGGTATTAAAGCAGATGCTGAGACTCATAACCAAACTTTGGGCAGAGTTTGGGGAATCTTATGAAAGAAGGGGGAGAGAGAAA